CAATGTTCAGGTCACAAAAATAACCCCATACTTGTAAACTAACTTGAATGGAGTTGCTTGCTTGTGAACTCGACTTGTTTTATGGCCTTACATTATGCAAGTGGACGTTTGCAGTTTGAGTAATTAAGTTAGAGAGAAAGCAAAAAATTCAAAAATATGTGTAACGTTACAAAATCAAATATCTCTGCTCCCGATGTACATACTGCTTCAACGACCGTCACCTCTCTACGACATATTACAATAAAGTATCTGCATAGTTTGAGGACGAGCGATTCAACACAGAAACTCCTGAATCGTTTTCCTTCCTCCACCCCCCTACCCCCGAAATCTGGCATTCGTACTCAACCATCACAATCACATTACAGATGCTTTCTTACCAATACCCAGTCCACGATGCTGCTTACAGACGATCCACATTCCTCCAAAGGCTTCCTCTTCACTCAGGTTAAATCCCATCACAACACCTGTAAATCATAAGAGACAGGTGTGCATTTTTAAAATCATTATCATCATTAATTTGTGTGATCCAATTTTTCATTTCATTCATTATTTAAAAGGAAGGAAAACTTAGGCGTGGTTTTAAAAACATGGCGGCAGAAAGCAATGGGTGTCAGTTTTGTTTACCTATAACTTTGCCCTGCAACTCAGCAATAAACGATCCTTCTGGGCTGTATTCAAAGAGAGCCCTAATAACCTCCTGGCTGTAATTCCACGACACCATCTCTGCCAAACGGGTTACTTCAGCCAGGTCTTCAGGCTGCATAAGTCTTATCGTGGCCGTCGACATGGTGAGATTTTTGTTCCTCGTACCTTAAGTCTGGCAATGGTACTTAGATCTTACGAAATGCGTAAAACTAATATGTATGCAGCTGTTGTCCATATATGTACTGGCAAAATTCGGTCGTAAATGGGCCATTTAACATTAAAGTTACTGTGTAGGTCTTGTCGGGTCAGGTCACGTGTAGGTTAGGTCAGTTTTAACGACTGGCACCTATCTCTCAGCAGACATTAATAACGCATCTTAAAGTGGCAGTGACATATTTATCGTTATCCTTTTAGACAGGTCATACGTTTAAACTGTTGACTAGATGCAGAAACTTACTTACCAATACACTGCCCACGCCATGGCTTACTGACTACCCACATTCCTCTTCACTCAGGTTGAATCCAATTACCACAACGGAAAACCCACAATAGGGCATTCCACAATGGATATCAACAATCTTTTCAATTCATAACTTTTCTCCAAAATCGGCCTTGGACGTAATTTTAGCAACATGAGCACGGAAAGCAATGTAAGTAAAGTTAACCTACAGCTTTCACCTTCTACTCAGCTATAAAAGATCCTTTTGAGATGTATTCAAAAAGAGTTCTTAGATTTCCTTGCTGTAATTTCGCGCCACCTTCCATGTCAAACGAGTTACTTCAGCCACGTCTTCAGGCCGCATATGTCTTATCATTGCTGTCGACATGGTGGGATATTACTTCTAAGTGTCTTGTGGATGCGCAACACACAGCATAACTGTATTAAAATTACACTTTTCGTCTTTTTGCAGACAGAATAAAATCATCAAGATTTAAGGAATTGCAAAATGGATCATTCCACGATAATTGAGTGATGGCTGGGTCAGGTCAGAGGCGCTAACAGTTTATGATATATACTACCGCTTATAGATGTTGTCACACCTTCAAAAAAATTGTATTTGTTTTAAAAAGTGACTCTTCATAGTCCTGAGTTGGAATTACTAATTTAAAGCCCCACCTCACACATCCAAAAGTAACAATCAACACGGGCATATCACATCTGTGCTGATTTATTAATGTTTTCTCAACATGACACCACAAATTGGTTTGTTCAGTGTACAGGCCCTATTTGAAAAAATTCTTATAACTTTTTATACGGGATTGATTAATTTTAAAAATGTACACACTTTTGTTTGATAAGACACCTTTACAACATGTACCCATATTGAAGTAGTTCACATAAAAACGGGTCAAATACCGTGCCCATAGTTCTGCTGCAATTCTTTTACCTGGGATTTTCCTTTTTCTTCTAGAAATACAGGGTTACTACTTAGTATGGTATATTATTTTTTGGCGATTAAATTTTCTACAATATATTTATTTTCTCACTAACTTTTTTTTAAATCCAAATCTGTAGTGTCATTCCATGTGTAGCCAGGTGTGTAACCTAATTACTTCACAACTCTAGAAACAATTGATGCAAGAAGTTGCGTGTTCTGTAGTGAGGAATGTGAGGGGTGGTCTTTTCGGCAATTCTCCCCTTGTATAGAACACATGGGTTTTGGTCAATCTTTGGAGTGTATTTAGAGAAGCAACAAAAGGATCCCTCTGAAACTAGACATGTACCTTAGAGAAGATATGGCTAAGCAACGCAGCTTACTATGGGATTCTTGCTCTCGGAGAAAATGGCCAGAAACGGACAGCCCTGCCAGGCAATCCAATATTTATCAGGAACCGTTAGTAAAGTCCTCCAAAGAAATGCTACAACACCTACTCCAATACCTCGACCAGGGTGTCCGCGTAACACATCAAGAAGACAGCATTGCCTTCTCCTTAGAGTAGCCTACGCCGTGCTGGTCGTACAAAGACAACCAGTGTCCCCAGAAAAGAGTGACAGAATGTCATTCAAACGCCCGTTTCAAGGTCCCTCGTGATCAAGAAATTACTGCAAGCCGGTTATTTTGCACGAAGACCAGTAGGGAAACCACTGTTAACAGCAGGTCCGCCGACGTGTACAAGAGGCATAAAACGATGACTGTGTACTGTCTAGGGTGCAAGCAGGGGGTGGTAACGTCGCTGTTTGAGGAGCATTTCATGCAGGTGCCCAGAACCGGTTGGTTTTTCTAAGAGGCAACCTTAACCAGGATTCCTACAGAGACATTCTACAGCAAACAATGCTTCGATTTGTAAGAGTCATCTTCAGGATCAACTTTGTGTCTCTGGCCTGCAAATTTCCTAGATATGAACCCAGTTGAAATTCTGTGGGCGAAAGTAACTCACAGAATTAATAGCTATGGTCATCGGCCGGTATATTGTGATGAACTGCGACAGGCAAATATCACTGTGTGGAATGATATCCCCATCCAAACTCTACATAAGTTGTCCCAGGGTATGCCATGTAGGATGAGGGCGCTGCAAGCGGTTGCTTGAGGTAATACCCGCTATTGATGACTCTTCATGTATTACTGTAATGGCCCGCACGAAAATGCAGTAGTATCGAAGTAGCAAAGAAGCATTAACGCAGTAGTGGATCATATTTGCAGTAGAAATGCAGTATACCCTACTGCAATTCTACTTCAAAAATTACATAGGGTTGTACAGTGGAGGAGCATTAATGCAGTAGATTAGCAGCATGATAGAAGCATGTTTCAGATATGCTAATTAGCTCCCAATGCGAAGCAGATTTGAGGCATATTTGCAGTATGATTGCAGTAGTCTACTGCGCTGGAGCATCTACTGCGTTTTCGTGCGGGGAGTTATTCGACTGTGTAACATATCATTTTCTTTAATATCTTAGCTTAGAGTTAATACTGACATCAAAATGTTGATATGGTTTTTTGGGGGTGTTTTTTCTTTTGAATGACATCTTATGTCTAATATCCACCAAAATATCTCACAATAGAAGACTGGGTATTTTTATCAATGACATACATTTTTGATGAATTAAGCCAAAAAAATTTAATCAGCACTCAAAAATAACAATAATAAAAAATACTCCATATTAAGTAGTAACCCTGTATTTTGCAAAGTGTAGCCGTTCCGGGATTGGCGACACGGGTTCTACTGTAAAATGACCAGGGGCTACATTGCCAGCTCCCCTCTGGAGAATTCACATCACAGTTCATTTGGATATCATAAGATTTCTGGTAATTTCTGATTTAGTGAGCCTTCATCATGGAACGCTAACATCTTGTCCCTTAAACCTATGTCCCCTGCCCCTTACATATACAAAGCTGGTAAAGTTGTGGTGCCAGTTACTCCAAACCTCTGCTCAATATTGCATGGTGTTATAGCCAAAAAACGAGACATCTATTTCCATACACTTCTCTCTCTGAGGAGCCACTATCCATTGGCACGTGCTTGCCTTTGGCCCTGGTTCAGATAGTGTACATGTACGTGTGACAACCCTTTTTAGCAATAGTGTATATAAACGTAAATACCGTGTAATGTGGTAGGAAATCAACAGACATTAAAAAGCGACGGTGCAGTATCCTCTGCTACGATCTTGTCCAAAAGAAATGTAGACAGAGATGTATACATACCTAGTTAATGCCCTCAGCTCCTCATTAAAATCACTATATGACGATTCCACGAAGAAGGTACCAATTCCAAAAGAAATTTCTGTCGCAGTTAATTTTTGATAATAAAAGTGTCTGAAAATCTGCTTTTTAGCCTTTTACAGCTGGGCCAAATGCAGTGGGTTCTACATAAAAGGGTACCGGAGAAGACAGGATTGTGCTGTAAGTATGACGTCATGTGACGTTAAGTGGTGTAAGACGTGAGGCTGAGTGGTCACTTTTAGCTGGAGGTGAACGGGAGTGAAGGTGTGGGCTATGAGAAAAAAGTTTTTCCAACAACACGGTGAGATAACTTTTTTCTTTCGGTATTTTGGGCAGAAAAGACTTGTAGAAAAATAGGTACATGGAATGAAATCGTGTTAGGATACTTGAAGGTGCAAAATCTTGCTTGATTTACAGTAAATTTGTTTTGAGAGATATGCTGCATCAACCCACAGTGCGACAAAGAGCGTCAAGTGAAAAGAATTCCCGAGAGGCTGTAAATCGTTGTCATGTGTTCCACACAATGTATAAAATCAAGGTCAAGAATCTCAGCTGACTAATTTGTATTTTGGAAAAAAAAAACGTTTACTAATTTACCCATTTTTCATCTCGATTCATTTCTCAACTTCTGTAAAATCGTATTTGTTATTTCACATGGCATCACTAAAAGTTGACTCAATGTTTCATCACTGAATATCAACAATGATGAGCTGCTGTTGCTGACGCAATTAAAAAGATCTTTTCCTGTGGAACCTTCACGTCATGATGGTAAAACATTCGGGTCACGTCCGCATGAACTTTAAGTGTGCTTTTATTCTCAGACAGCAATTCTTTCAAAATTTCGCTCCCAACAGGTGCCCACATGTCCACAATTTCACCAAAAGTAGTCTTGCCCATTAAGCTGACCAGTAAGCTTTTTATAATGGCGGGGGTTTCACCATAAAGTGGGCCAATAAGGATAGTATTGTTAGAATCACGCTTAATGACGCCGTAACCGACGATTTCATCTGCCTTGCTCATAGCAACCAAGGTTATGGTCGATTCCCCCTCAATCCAAAATCTTAGAAACCTTTCACGTTCAATGGTGTGTATTTTGGTGTCATATTGAATCAGGGCATCAAATTGCACGCTTTGTGAAGGAAACGCAGATACTTTAAAATCTTCTGACAACTCTATCTTTTCTGTTGCGAATGTTCCGGATACATGGCGTACTTTCCATGATTCAACTGTAAAACCTAATCTTTTGTTGGGCTCCACTCTTTCTGCCACAGAGAATATGCCAAGGTTCCTATCCCCAATGTACTGTTCCATCTTCTGCCACAACCTTGTACATATTCGATCAAAACTGACGAAAGTTAAATAAAAAATATATTGCCTATATTTTATTTTTAAGGGTTAATATAGTCTCCATTAGTGCTAATGGCACACTTTAATTTGTTTTATTTATTTTCTGTAAAATTCAAACTAATAAATACAAGCGACACAGTGTTCAGTTCACAAAAATAACCTTAGACTTGTGCACTCGACTTGTTTTATAGCCTTACATGTACTTATTTTAAGCCAGTGGACATTAGCAACTGCATCACGCAATAGTACAGCATTGGATCCATCTAAGATGAAAAATTTGGGATATTGGCCTTTGGAATTAATATCTGGGATGACATTTTAGAGAGCGTCCTCTTAGGAGAGCTAAGAAGACGGACACGAGTTATGGGAAAGGGTTCAGCTGGAGTTTTCACCTAGAACATGTAGTTAGCAAACTTCATCGAATAAACCGTTAAATAGGTCATTATGTGTCCTACGGTTTTCTTTGAGCGACTTTACGTAAATCTGACACGAACCGTTGAATTTCGGATGGCGTTTTGTGCAGTAAGGTTTTCATTAGATAATGGCTGAGTTTTGACAGTTCACGTTAAAATGTGAGAACATCTGACAAGACACAGAAAGGCCAAAATTTTGAAGCCGTCTTACAATCTGCATGTATTCTGCATTGCAGCCAAATACTGTGAAATCAGTGTATACTTTTCTTTTGTTCCACAATCATGAACCTATTCAATCAAAATCAACGGAAGTTAATATATCCGAAGTTTCACAGTAAAATCATTGTAAATTGAGGTTGATATTGACATACAGTGAGGTGCTTAAGGATACTGTTATCCTTCGCCCAATACTCCTTATTTACTGCCTTGCATACATTATTTAGGGTATTAAATAAATCTTAAGTGTTTAGAGACTAAATTAATTAACATTTATACATATGTCACCTTACTGCGATTTTGCGATGATTATTTTTGCGATTTGGGGTAAAAACTGAAAATACGGGTTTTCATTTTCTCTCTTTCCAATTTAATGACACCATTAAGTTCTCCAAAACTCTGCCAGTGATTCATTTTTAAAGTCTTGGTTCAGATTTTATCGTAGATAAAGCAAAACAATGCCAGTTCAATGAAAGTCTGTAATTAATGGCGGCACGGGATTGTAGCCTATAGATTTCTAGTCCATTTTGCCAATTTTCGTGAAAAAATCTTGTTCAGGGATGAAGTTATGCCCTATATACCTACTGCTGTCTCACCTCAAAATAGAAAGGTGACAAAGGTGTTACATAGACGGTAAAGCTTTGAGTTGCATATGCTCATACATTGCATCGAAAAAATATACACGCCGATATTTTATACTTTCGAGGTTTTTTCATTGTTTTAAATCAGCACGCCTATACATGCATTATTGAATAATTGTTTGGAAGATACATGTTTTGGAAGATATACGGGTATAAGGGTCTATGGGTTACTGCAGGCCGAAATAAAACCGTATTTCATAAACAAAAAAGAGATGGCATTACAGTTACATTTCTCACAACATAAGACGAATATTAGAGAAAGAGCAAAAAGTGCAAAAAATATATAAACGTGTCAGACCAATCAGTTATAATGGTGGGGATCAAATAGCCCCGCTCCTGATACATATCCATGCTGCTTCAACGACTTTCATTTATCTGCAACACATAATACAGCATTTAAATGGCTTGAAGACGCTGTACATTTAGACGAGCGATTCTACACAGAAACTCCTGTGTCGTATTTTCACACCCCCCCCCCCCCCTCAAAAAAATCTAGCATTCGTGCTCAACCATCACAATTACGTTACAGATGCTTTCTTACCAATACGCTGCCCGCGGTGCATCTTACTGACGATCCACATTCCTGCAAAGGCTTCCGCTTCACTCAGGTTAAATCCCATTACAACACCTGTAAACCATAAGACACCACTCTGCATTTTTAAAATTATTATCATCATTATTAAAATATAGGCTAGTGTAATCCAATTTTTCATTTCATACATTATTCAAAAGGAAAGAAAACTTAGGCGTGGTTTGAAAAACATGGCGGCGGAAAGCAATAGGTGTCAGTTTTGTTTACCTATAACTTTCCCCTGCAGCTCAGCAATAAACGATCCTTCTGGGCTGGATTCAAAGAGAGCCCTAAGAACCTCTTGGCTGAGATTCCACGACTCCATTTCTGCCAATCGGGTAACATCAGCCAAGTCTTCGGGACGCATAAGTCTTATCCTGACTGTGGACATAGTTAGACTTTTGTTCCTCGCACATTTATTCACGCCATGCATTGCGTATAACTAACAGCCAGCAATGTGTATGCAGCAGTTGTCTGCTAGTATATATATTTGGAAGATATACGGGTATAAGGGCTTATAAATAAATAAACAAAATTAGATCGTAACTGGACCATTACACAATAATGTAACTGTCTAGGTCAATGAAGCAAATAATGATGCACAAAATAGGTTATTTATCAGTTTTGATGCAGTTTAACGTGGAGCTTTACAGCAAAATCAACGTCAAATTGTAATAATGCACAACAGGTCACAGACATTAGGAATATGTTTGTAGCAAAGGCCCAACCCCGAGACTTCAATTGCATAACCTGGAAATCCTGAAATCTGGAAAATGAACATTTTATGAAATATGTAACTCAAGCTGTATTTTAGTCAAATGTTTCTTTTCTGTAAGTTTGATAATCAAAAGTAACATGGTTTTGCTGTTATGTTCATTATGGAGGTAGCGCACAAAATAAGATTCTCTTAACACAACCAATTTTTTAAAATTTTTTATTAAAATAAAATAATATATAAGTATCATGGATATTCAAAATGTGACTAAAAAGGTCTTCAGGCCCATGGAGGTTCAAAGTCACACCTTGAAAATGCCAATATGTAAAAAATTAACATTCAACAAAAAAGTATAGCTTCATAAATCGTAATAATAATATAATATAAACTGAAAGAACGGCATAACTTCAATAGAAATACTCCGACCAGACTTGGTTTTTTTTTAACTCTACCTGTTGCGTGATAATATACGTGGGATTAAAATCGGCCTAGGTGAGATTGAAATCTCAAAGCCATTTTAGTAGAAAAGATCTATAGTTAAGATCATCTGAAGAACATTTTCGCTCACTAATATACCCATTTATCAACCTTAATTGTATTCCCCTATTATACAATTTCATTTGTTATTACGGAATAACTGAATGATTTGTGACTGAATGTCAGCAATGACTGCCGTCTGGTGACGCAATCGCGAAAATCTTTTCCAGCGGAGCCTTAACTTCATATTTTAAAAACATCCGAGTGAATTCGTCATGAACTTTAAATGTGCTTTTATTCTGACTCAGTAATTCTTGCAAAATCTCATTCCCAACGGGAACATGCGTGTTAATAATTTCACCAATTGTAGTCTTGTCGACTAAGCTGACAAGTAAGGTTTTCATAATGGCGGGAGTTTCACCGTAAATTGGACCAAGATTGGTATAGTTGGAATCTCGCTTAATGGCGCCGTAACCGATTATTTCTCCTGTCCTGCCAATAGCAACTAAAGTAATGGTCGATTTATCCTTAATCCAAGTTCTTAGAAATCTTTCACGTTCAATTGTGTGTATTTTGGTGTCATAATGAAGCAGGCCATCGAACTGCACTTCACGAGAAGGAAATGTTGATACCACACAATGATCTTCTTCCAGCTTGATCTTTTCTGTTGCGATGGTACCGGAGACATGGCATATTTTCCATGATTCCACTGTAAAACCTAATCTTTTGTTTGGTCCAACTCTTTCTGCCCCAGAAAATGTGCAAAGGTTTCTATCCCCAGTGTGCTCTTTCATCCTCTGCCACAATCTTGTACCTATTCAATCAAAATTTACAAAAATTCTAAACTTCCAGTAAAAGCATTATAATTTGCAGATGGTCAGTTGGCTTCATTGGATATTATTCACTGTATACCCGTATTTCATAAGTTCAGATCTTTTGTACGTTACAACTTTTTCTGCCACAGAGAATACGCAGAGGTTTTTATCTCCAATTTACTTCTTTCTTTTGTGTCATAATCTTGTTCCTATTCAGTCAAAATTAACCTACGTTGGTACATTAAAGGGATAATAACTCTTCGTATGAGATCTATATTTCACAATAAAAACATAGTGAACAACTCATAGAAATATAATATATTCTGTTGTACAAGAGAAACGGCAGTTATAGCTATTATCCTGATATCTGAGCTTGTCTTTAGACCACGTGACTTCCATTGATGGCTATACTCTGTTATAATCTCTTAAGAGACTATAACAAAAAAAAGAAACTTTTTAGATAAAAAAAAAACAGGAACTAACTTTGAATGTTAAAATGGATTCATTAACCATTGGCAAGTACGGGAAAATTGTTGTTTACTCCAGGAAAATTCATTTTTGGCCAAAACGAAGAGTTATTATCCCTATTAAGTAAACAAGGGGTACTAAGCCTTATACGTCATCACATTCTTCAAGATAAATACGAAAGAACAATGGACTTACTTAAACTCTAGAGAAAGACAAAATATCAAAGGTGACAAACGCGTTCAAGCCTTGGTGAGCAACATGCGCATACCGAATACATGTAATCATGTTAGAACAACCCTTCTGTTCACCCTTCGACTGTCACCTATCTCTCGCCACACATGAATAAAACATCTGAAAGTGGGGTGAAATATATTTTCAGAGACGTTAAACTTTTTAGGCAGGCGACATCTTACCAATTCGCTGCCCACGCCACGACTCACTGACGATCCACATTCCTACAAAGGCTTCCTTTTCACTCAGGTTAAACCCCATTATCACACCTGAAACCCACAATAGATCATTCTCAATAAGTAAACTTTTTAAAATTCACATTTAAGTAATAAAATGCACGAAAGAAACTTTCTCCGGTCTTGGGCGTAGTTTTAGCAGGATGAGCGCAAAAAGCAATGTAAGTTTACTTTACCTATAACTTTCCCCTGCAACTCAGCAATAAACGATCCTTCTGGGTCGGATTCAAAGAGGGCCCTAACAACCTCTTGGCCGTAATTCCAAGACACCATCTCGGTCAAAAGAGTTACTTCAGCCAGGTCTTCAGGGCCCATGAGTCTTATCTTGGTTGTTGACATGGTGGGATATTCCCTTCCAAGTGTCCCGTAGGTCTATTTGCACGTAACATTGCATGCAGTCGTTTTTGGTCAGAATTAGGTCACCTCGTTTGACAGCATTGAAAATGGGCCATTAACATAAAAAGGAACTGGTCTGCGGTAGTAAACTATCGCTTTAAGGTTGTCACACCTTCACAAATTTTATGTTTTTTTAAAGTGACCATTTATAGTCCTGACATTGAATTATTAATTAAACATCCCATCTGCAGACTGCAGAAAAGACAATCAACACAGATATAACACATTTGTGCTAATTTATTTAGTGTTTCTCAACGAGAACGCCTGAACTGTGATCTGTATACAAACCCAAATTGAATAAAAGTACTTGTAACTTCCTACAGAAATCTGAAAGAAATTTCAAGCATTTACACACATCAAATTATTTGATAACATAGCTATACAATCATCTTCGTCATTAATGGCCTTTGTGGCCCGTTGACAGGAAGGTCGGCGACACGACAAGTACTATCAATTTTTTTATGAAGAATTCTGGTCTACTCTTAATTGGGTCAAAGCCTGTGTCATTTAGTGAAACTGGTTGACGCTGGATCTCTTCTTTTTGTCTTTTCCTCCTAAACTCGTCCCAGGGATGCTCTATGGGATTCACATCTGAGATAGCATGGTTGTTTCATGAGCAGAAGGTTGTTCTGTTGGAAAGAACACCTCTCCAGGCGAAAAGTGTAAAGAACTGCGTTGTTGTGTTACAAGTGAAAATTGCTCTAGAGAAATTGCCAAAAGTAAAAAGTAAAAACATGACAGGCGGAAAGTGTAAAGGGTTGCGTTGTCGTATTACAGGTGGGAATTGTTCTAGAGAAATTGTCAAAAGTTTAAACTTGACAAATAAATCGTAAAGGCTGAGGGAAATGTGAACCGCCGCCTGCAGCTGCACGGCCACCGCACGAATACGAAGTTAAATAGTGTTTCTCAATATCCCAAAAATTAATCTATTTTATATACGACCATCAATTACAATTGAATAGCCTCATCCGTATTGTAACGGCATTTAGGTTCACAGTGAAATGTATTTTGTCAACATACAAATACGTCATATACATCTGCAATAGAGGGTACCGATTTACAGCCTCGCGGGAATTCTTTTCCCTTGACTCTCTTTATCGATGCAGCATATACGTCAAAACAAATTGACTGCAAATTCAGCACGATTTTGCACCTTCAAGTATCGTAACACGTTCTCATATCATGTAACTTTTATTTCTACAAGTATTTTCTGCCCAAAATACCAAAAGAAAAAATATTATCTCACTATGTTTCTGGAAAAACTGCTTTTTTCTCTGAGCCCACATCTTCAGTCCCGTTCACCTCCACTCAGGTTCACGTCTTACACCACCACATGTCACTTCCGGCACAATCCTGTCTCCTCCTGTACCCTTGAAATTCATAATTTTTGTTCATGGCGTTTTCTTCAACTCAAGATGAACAGCCCACATCTGAGGCACATTTCACAAAACGTACTGAGCTTAAATTCTGCTTTAACAGTGACAACAAAGAATCTCAACTAAGTTGTATTCGACCAAATTTCGCTCACTATGTTACCCATTTACCAAACTAAGTCCTTTTATCCTACTATATAGTTTAATTGTCAGAAAAGCTTCAATGAATGTCTTGTCACCGAACGTCAGCAATGACTGCCGTCTGGTGACGCAATCGCGAAAATCTTTTCCACAGGAGCCTTCACCTCATGATGGAAAAACATCCGAGTACATTCGTCATCAACTTTAAGTGTGCTTTTATTCTCACTCAGTAATTCTTGCAAAATCTCATTCCCAATGGGCACGTACGTACTAATAATTTCACCAGAAGTAGTCTTGCCGATTAAACTGAAAAGTAAGGTTTTCATAATGGCGGTAGTTTCGCCGTAAACTGGACCAAGATTGGTATAGTTGGAATCGCGCTTAATGACGCCATAACCGACGATTTCTCCTGTCTTGCCAATAGCAACCAAAGTAATGGTCGATTTCCCCTCAATCCAAGCTCTTAGAAATCTTTCACGTTTAATTGTGTGTATTTTGGTGTCATATTGCAGCAGGCGTTCAAATTGCACATCACGGGAAGGAAACGCAGATACCATGCAATCTTCGGCCATCGTAATCTTTTCTGTTGCGACGATGCCTGCTACATGGCATATTTTCCAAGATTCCACTGTAAAACCTAATCTTCTGTTGGGTCCAACTCTTTCTGCCACAGAGAATATGCAGAGGTTTCTGTCTCCAGTGTGCTCTTTTACCCTCTGCCACAATCTTGTACCTATTCAATCAAAATTCACCGAAGTTTATATTCTATAAACTCCTCAGTAAAATCATTATAATTTGCGAATGTTGATTGGCTTCATTAGATATACTGTATACCTGTATTTCATAAGTAAACAACGAAATATTAGCAATGTTTGACATTACAAATTACATTCCACACGATAAATGCGAAAGAACAATTACATAAACTCTGGAGAAAGACAAATATCATCAGGGATAAGCGCATTCAAACCTTGGTGAGCAAAATGTGCATACCCAATGTGCGTAAGAACGATCCCTCAGAGATAGCTTGGGGCTAATATCTCTGCTCTTAAACATGTAAGTGTAGTTTCTAGTTCGACACAGACAGCTCGAATGGCCGTCACCTATCTCCCAGCTTACATTCATAAAGTATATAAAAGTGGGGGTAAATTTTTTTGTAAATTTCCCCTCAAAGACGTTATACGTTTAGACCAGCGACTGAACGCAGACTTTCTTACCAATACGCTGCTCACGCCACGACTTACTGACGACCCATATTCCTCCAAAGGCTTCCTCTTCACTCAGGTTGAACCCCATTACCGCACCTGTAAACCCACAACAGACCAGCATTTAATATGATTTAATTAGTTCATTTTTTACATTTCAAACGAAAAAGGAAGAAATGCACCAAAATAGCAAAACAAATTTTTTTCTCCAAATTTAGTCTTATGCGTGGTTTTAGCAACATAAAGGTGGAAACAGTATAAGTGCAGCTAACCTATAACTTTCCCCTGCAACTCAGCAATGAACGATCCTTCTGGGCTGTATTCAAAGAGAGTCCTAACAACCTTTTGGCTGAGATTCCACGACTCTTCCTCTGTCAAACGGGTGACTTCAGCCAGGTCTTCAGGGCTCATATGTCTTATCGTGGCTGTCGACATTGTGGGATACGTCTTCCGAGTGTCTTTGTGTAATGGCACGATACGCGCAGTGAAACTATTATATTATATATGTATGCATGCAGTTAGCTCCCTTCTGCAGACAAAATAAGGTCATCTAAATTTAAAGAATTGGAAAATGGGTCATTTCACAATTACCCACTGTATAGGTCACGTCAGTGACGGTTACACAATGCTTTCAAACACCTTCAAAAATTGTATGATTCATGTTTTAGAAATGGATTTTTGTTATGAGCTGAGGTATAATAATTACGTCTATATATATATATATATATATATATATATATATATATATATATAAAACGTCCCTTCTCTGGACATGTAGATGAAATAATAAACACAGATGTATCAAAAAATTGTGTTCATTTCTTCAATGTGTTTCTCCTGTAACGCCGCATTTGTAACTGACAGCATTTTGCAACCGGTTGCAAATGTGTTAGGTTGCAAAATGCGGCTGTACATCCCCAAAGCGGCCTGCCCTATGCAGACACTTCTTCAACAATTGATACTGATTCTTTTTAAAATACCCGCATACACCAGGCACAGTGGGTTTCCCCCTTTATCTTCATCTTATCATTTATTTATTTATTTAATTATTTATTTATTTATTTATTTGTTTATCATCCGTAAACAAACTGTACAAAAATGTTACAGATATTTATTAGTGGGATAAATAATACTAGTATGAACACCAAGGCAAGTCTCAATCATCGTTCAGGTGGAAACCTTTTACCTCTATGCTCCGGAAAAAGCTCATCATCTATTTGCACAATATTTGACTATCACTAATTAACAACCACGAAAGGTGCCGATTCGTTGGGTGCGCAAAGCACGCGTATGGCTTTGAAATAAATGACTGGTGATTTGACATACATGTAGGTGGTGCGCTTCAGCTTAGGACAGTTCATCAGCCGATTGATTCACAAAGGTAGGATAAAAATTATAGATGTGTAACGAGCCTTAAAAATGTTCCCAATGGTAAGCACAAGTCCGTGTTCTGAGTTTCCAACCTAAAGAAATGGGTTTTTCAAGGGACCCGTTACTTTTTAACACACCCGAATTTGCCAGGCAATGAGTCACTATCCCTGCACAGGGATTTGCACTACCTCGGGGTCTGAATGCACACTTTCTGTTTTCGATGTCATGGTAAAAGGTATATACCGTCCACAAGTGAAATTGACCCAACATCATGTTTTGCAAAGGTACTCAGGCCTACCCAACTACCAGACTCGGCACATAAGGATCCTGGATTAACCGGTATATCGGACCACACTACCCGTTTTCAAGGTGTGTGTTATAATATAGGGCAACTTTATGTAAGCAGTCGTTGTCTATGCACTGACAAATATACGTCGTCATGATTTAAATTATGGTTAATGTGGTACAAGAGAAATTATCATACATAATGTGAGCGTCACTGACAGAAATCAGAGGTTAACTTTTACAGAAAGGTGTCTTTGGAATGCTTTGGAATGTATAAAATGATAGTGACTTTTTTCAGTACTAAGACAACTACCGACTGCCTACAGTCCCGCTATGTACCACTGCATAAAGACACTGGTGAGAAATATGTCGACAGCCACGATAAGACATATGCGGCCTGCAGACCTGGCTTAAGTTACTAGTTTGACAGAGAAAGAGTCGTGGAATCTCAACCAAGAAGTTGTAAGGGCTCTCTCTGAATACAGCCCAGAAGGAACGTTTATTGCTGAATTGCAGGGTTGTAGGTAAAGTAAACTTTTGATTTTTTTCTCTATCGACAACCAATACACTACCCAGCGAACACGTTCGGATCAAGTGTCTAGCACGTTGCTACCACGTTATAAGTCTAAGCGACGGATTGACCACGTGGTACCAACGTGACGTGTTTGATGGGTATCTTTCTGAAAGGTCTGGTGTAATTACTGTTTTGTTGTGCATTTCCCTTTTTTTAACAATGCGTTTAAAATTTAAAGTAAAATTGTACAAAATCATATTAAATTTAATGTGGTCTGGTTTGCAGGTGTTGTAATAGGATTTAACATGAATGAAAAGGAATCATTTGGAGGAATGTGGATCGTCAGTAAGCAGCATCGTGGACAGCGTATTGGTAAGATAGTTAACTCTGTCTTGAGTCGCCTTTGCTAACGGAGAACACTTTGCCAACTCAGTTTCAGAAGACATTGGGAATTCAACTTTCTACTACATGTATCGCCTTCATTTGTTAATTACATATTGCTCACATAAATTGGTTTATTTTATTACCCAGTGCCCGGTTGTACCAGGAAATTATATCGGATATAATTCCCAGGTTGTACCAACGCTTCATAAATTTATTCCGCTACGGTTGTGCGTGTAGTAAACTGCAACGCCTGGCGCCCGTGTGCCAGGGTCTACTCCCCGTGGCGGGGCAAGTTGGCCCCCCTGACGTCAACTGCGTTTTTTTTGTCAAGTTGTGAGCCACTTGGCATTATTTATGAAAAATAATGACGTTGTATACGTGTCTTAGTTCATGGGGCTTGCTTTGAGCCCATTTTCTTTACTCTAAATCATTCCTAGTTGGCTCTATAAGACCAAAAGTGTCTAACTAGGCCAACTAGCCCAGTGTGGCAGGAGTGCACGTCCTAGTAACGCAAGTCCGCCCGGACATTAAGTCCTGGGAATGCAAGTCCTAGGGCATGCATTGCTAGGAATGGAAGTCCTAGGACATACGTTACTAGGATTCAATGTCCGTAGGACGAAGGCTCCCAAGTAATGTAAGTCCTACGTGTAGTAATGCACGTCCTAATTTTGCAATATTATTAAATGATGATAGGAATTTTGGATTAAGAGATAAGTTAAATACTGAGTAGTGATATTGTCAGTCAATTTATGTAGAATCTGACAATATGATTGAAAATACTGATTGAATTCTTGGCCTTGCACTGGGCAGTTTCACATTTGTGCCAAGTGCTTTTTTTGAACTCCATTGTACAGTGGTAAAAGTTCTTCAATTGCCATGAAAGTTTTTAATCAGACTGTGTATGGTGCTGCTATCTGCTGGTGCTATTGGCAACGAATGAGTTTGCCTTTGTTTCTGAGTGAATCTACCGTCTAAAATCACTATTTCTGAAAATATGTGCGTTTTTGCTGAGGGTAGGCTAGGCAATACACGGCAAACTTCTTAGTACGTGTGTACAACAGAATTTTTTGGTCAGGAGTTGCTTGAGGCATAGCACAGCGTTGCTGTCTATCGGCATCAGGCCGTTAGTTTGTCAATTATCACGAATTACCCACGAATCGCGAACCCATTCATTTTCCTATGGCAATCTAGCAACTCATTAAAAGTGCACGCATGCGCAGTGGGCTAAGCGTGACGTCATGCAGTGCATTTCTTGGGATGATATTATTTCATGTCCTTTTCTACTGGGGTGTACCTGTTGTGTTTTGCGTCGAAATTCTTATTTTCTGTCCCTCTCTCTCTTTTTCAAAACCTTATTCCTAAGAGAAAAATCACTTTACATAAAACGCGGGATCTCCGTTCTTAGATTTATTTTTCGGTTTACACTCGCTGAAATTTTAAAAAAACTCAAACTCGATGGAAATTTGCTCTTGGAAAGTATGGGCTGAGATTTAAGACAAACCAAGACAGTTTAGAAATTGAAAATTGCAATATATGTATATAATGTTCTGTAATAACCCTTTGCTATTTTGGTGCTTTGACACTTAAAAGACAAGACAAAAAAAGTTGTAAATGTAATGAGCACGGAATTTCGAACACATATTAGACATTAAAAACATCATTAAACATTTTGCTACAATTAATAATTAGGGGGAAGGGGGGTAAGGTCAAATGTCAAAGGTAGGTCTCGAACCCGTAGGTTCATGAATTCTTATCATAGTCTTGCACGCTAACCACTACACAGACGAGCTGAAGTTGCAAACTACTTATTTTTTGTCTCATATATGGCTCACCAGAAGGATTTCATATACATTTATAGTTTTATCATTTAACAGTATTATTGGCTAAGGATAGGACTTTCAAATGGCCGGACTTTTATTACTATCATAGGTGTAACAGGAATAAAAGTCCGACAGTAATACAAGTCCTACCTACTATAATTATGACCCAGGAACCTACGTCCCTGTAGGACTACTATTCCCAAGTAATGTTAGTCCTACAGACAACCATTACCAGGAACCGAAGGACCTCGGTTCCTGGGGGACTTGGATTACTGTTACACCGGCGACAATTTGTGCCATCAATGCCTACACAATTTGTCGCTACCGAAAGACGACAATTTGTGCCGGTGGCAAATTGTGCCGGCAACAATTTGTGCCGACAGCCCCTGCACAAATTGTCGCCGGCGACAATTTGTACATTGTCACCTACAAGTATTTCTCAGAACACATTCATAAAGCATAAGATACAGAAATGTTCTTACCAATACGTTGTCCACGCCACGGCTTACTGACGATCCACATATCTCCATGGGCCTCCTCCTCGTTTATGTTAAACCCCATTATCACACCTTGAAACACACAATCGCCAACTCTGCATTTTATATAATTTGATTTGTTCATTTTTATATTCCTATAGTATAACAGTCTTACGCGTAGTTGTAGCAACATAAAGGTGGGAAAAAATGTAAATTTAGTTTATCTACAACTTTCCCTTGCATCTCAGCAATAAACGATCCTTCCGGGCTGGATTCGAAGATAGCGCTTACAACCTCTTGGCTGTAATTTCACGACACCATCTCCGTCAAAAGAGTTACTTCGACCACGTCTTCAAGCCGCATATGTCTTATGGTAGCTGTTGCCATGGTGAGGTTTTTCTTACCAGTTATGTTCTAATTCGTTAACAAACATAAAATATTTATTGTATAAACACAGACACAGTGTTAGGGGTGGAAGCGCTCGTTTCGTTCCATGTGCTTTATTTCCAGTTGAAAGTATTGCCATAAATACAGGCACTGGTGAACATTGAAAACCGTAATTATATTCTTGCTATTATTATTTTTATTTTTTAACAAACTTTGAACGAAATGATTAAAACAAATATATGTAAAACGAAAATCTTTTTAAAAGGGTAATAAAATAATAATGATAATGATCAGTTCTTGAGTTTGTTTTTTTTAAGAAAACTCCATCTTGATTTGTCTTCTGCCGTACCAGGATCCGAGCTGAAAAATTAAAACGTTCTGATATGAAATTAATAAAACACTGAAAAGCTTGAACTAAGACTAAAACTAATTTCTCTATTCTTTCTAATCTTAACTTATCATATCTCGTATTTATTTATGAAATATATTTTTTTAAACAAACAAACTTAACATCTTTTTTTAATTGATAAAGTAAAAATCCTTCAAATTGGGTGGGTGGGAGGGAATTATAAATATTCTCTGCTTGCATCACGGAATGCGAAAGAGCCTTCGAATGACCTAACTCTCAAATCTACTTTTCATCATCACCTTCTATTTGATAATACTACTCAAGTGACCAGTCACATGATATTAACACTACTCAGACCATACTGGACCGTTCACACAAAAACTTACCACGTGTCTGCGTACCCACAACAAATATATTAGTATGTTAAGGTACGTACTGTAGCGCAACTATATGTAAGCAGATATAGGTCGTCATGATTTAAATTATTGCAAATGTAATGGTACATGAGTGAAGCAATTATCATACATAATGTGATCGTCACTGACGCAATTCAAGGGTTAACTTTTGCAGATAGGTGCCTTTGGAATGCATTGGAATGCATGAAATGATAGTGATTTTATTCAGTACTAAGACAACTACCGACTGCCTACAGTCCCGCTATGTACCACTGCATAAAGACACTGGTGAGAAATATAATATAATATAATATAATATAATATAATATAATAATCTTTATTGAGCACTAAAATGCATACACATTACATTTTACAGGCTCTCTACACTAGTCATAACAGCTTAACAACAATTATACAAATATGTCGACAGCCACGATAAGACATATGCGGCCTGCAGACTTGGTTGAAGTTGTTAGTTTGACAGAGAAGGAGTCCTGGAATCTCAGCCAAGAGGTTGTTAGGACCCTCTTTGAATACTGCCCAGAAGGATCGTTTATTGCTGAATTGCAGGGGAAAGTTGTAGGTAAACTAAAATTTTAATTTTTTTTCTCTAACGACAACCAATCCACTACCCAGCAAACGCGTCACGTTCAGATCACGTGGCTAGCACGTTCATACCACATGGATTAACAACGTGGTATCAACGTGACGTGTTTGATGGGTACTTTCTGAAAGGTTTGGTGTAATTACTGTTTTGCCGTGCATATCCTGTTTATTTAACAATGCGTGAAAAGTGAAAAATGTACAAAGCATATTAAGTTTAATGTGGTCTGGTTTGCAGGTGCTGTAATGGGATTTAACCTGAATGAAGAGGAATCATTTGGGGGGATGTGGATCGTCAGTAAGCAGCATCGTGGACAGCGTATTGGTAAGATAGTAAACTCTGACTTGAGTACCCTTTTCTAACGGAGAACACGTTTGAGAAGTTTCAGAAGACTCTGGGAATTCAACTTTCTACTACATGTATCGCCATCATTTGTTGTACATATTGCTCACGTAAATTGGTTTATTTTATTACCCAGTGCCCGGTTCTACCAAGGCTTCGTAAATTTGTTCCGCTACGGTTGTAGAAAACTGCAACGCTTGTCGTCCGTGCGCCAGGGTCTACTCTCCCTATTTACTCCTATTGAACGAAGACAACATTTACTACGCTCCACTAACGATTCGTTATATATATTGCTCCAAACACTTTGTTACTCCATTTGTATGCAAACTGACAATGTTTGAGCAAATCTTGATAATAAACATTAAAGACCATTTTATGCGCACAGTATGTATAGTCTACGGTTAAAGTCTTGAGGTTGCTCAGTATCAGTACTGTGTGAACCCCCCACTGTTTATTGTCAAGACTTGCTCACACTTTGTCACTCCATTTCGCAAAATACATGTATAATGATGAATTTACTGTGGCGCTAATGATACAGACGTCGTCAATTTTGATTTAATAGGCACAATGTTGTTGCAGAGGCTAAAAGAGCACATTGGAGATAGGAATATCGGCATATTCTCCGACGCAGAGAGCGTGGAAGCCAACAAAAGATATGGTTTTTCGGCGGAGTCATGGAAAATATGCCATGTATCCGGCATCATCGCAACTGAAAAGATCAAATTAGCAGAAGATTGCATGGTGCATGTATATGCGTTTCCCTCTCGTCACGTGCAATTTGATGACCTGTTTCAATATGACACCAAAATACACTCAGTGGAACGGGAAAGATTCCTAAGAGTTTGGACTCAGGGAAAATCGACCATAACCTTGGTTGCTATTGGCAGGACAGGAGAAATCGTCGGTTACGGCGTCATTAAGCGCTATTCCAATTACGCCGTAGTTGGACCAATTTACGGTGAAACTCCTTCCATTATGAAAACCTTACTTGTCAGTTTAATCCGCAAGACTACTTTTGGTGAAAATATCAACATGTCGGTACCAGTTGAGAGTGAGATTTTGCAAGAATTACTGGTTGAGAATAAAAGCACGCTCAAAGTTCTTTCGGAAGAGACCCGGATGTTTTTCCATCATGAAGTTAAGGTTCCATTGGAAAAGATTTTGGCGATTACGTCATCAGAAGCCAGCCATTGTTGACAGTCAGTGATACAGCATTCCAAATTTCCTGTGCCCTAGAGAACTGATGAATAAAATTATAAAGAAGAGGAGTAATACATTGTGCTAGTTTGGTGTAAGTGTGTAAATTAGTAAATAATTTTGTTGTCAAATACAATTTAGTTCCAATTTTTGCTGTTTTTGGCTGAGATCGAACTTCGACTTTCGTTTTGAACAAGTGGATTTTATTTGATAAAAGAAAAAAAAACATGGCAATACCACCCCCCCCCCCCTTGATTGCTTAAAGCTAGGGGCAATTGACGATTTAAAATAGCTTTCATTTTATGGATGTTGAAAACGCATTATAATTAAAATGTCAGTACATGTACACAATGAAAATGCTAAAAATGCTGGATTTTTAAGGGTTTTTATTTCTGTATAAATGAATAACGCTAATCTCTGCCACGTTGTCTCCGAAGCCTATTACATGTGTATCAGTCAATCTGCATAATAATTACTTTCGTTTGATAACCGAATGGGACAATTTATTTCAATACAGAAATGTTTCAATCGGTGAAATTTTGATAGCGAAGTTGATGCAATTAATTTTAATTTATTCTTCTTCAACCCCTACCCCCTTCCCCCATAACAGCCTAGACGTCACGAGACTGTACACATTTCTTTTGTGGAAAGACTCATATGGTCATTAATAACCTCTGGCGGATCTGTCATAGGGCGTCTCCCTGTCCCCCCCCCAACCCCCGGCTCTCGTAAATCATCATTGTGTGGGGAGACAATGCGAGCAAAGCGAGGTTTATGACTGGTTTTTAACCTTGATTACGCATAGAACTACCGTGGTATTTGATGGTGGGAGTTTTTCAACACTTTACCCAGAAGATGCATCGGGTATAATTTTCTGAATCAAGATGTCAAGATCGTTGTTTCACTTATTAAAAGCATTACAATTTTACGAAAAAATGGATGCACCTAAAGATTTATTGTGACAAATACTAATTTTCCTCTGAAACAGTATTTTAATTAAAATTAGGTTCTCCGGACTAAGTAATACAGTATTAACTACCTATATTTTTAATCCATCATGAGCTTCATGCCTGATCCCAAAACTTACAAAATGATAAATCACACACACACACACACACACACATTACTGATAACAAACACCTTTCTAACTACATGTTACTACTTAATACTACGTGTACGTGGTTCAAGGTATCTGCAATAACGTATCGGGGCATTCATAGATTACTATCATAATTGTATATTATTTGGGTTTAAACGCATAAAGATAGCAGAGACAGGATGGAGGCGTGAATCTTAATGGGAAATATCAAAGACAGCGAGAGCGTGAACGTTTGAGATGATCCCTTACGGCAGTCATTGGTAGCCGCCGTTCAAAGTGAAAGAAGAACGCCATGACTGGTGCTAACTTCTGTTGCTTTCTCGCCGGCCGATTGAAGAGAATATCACGCGTATTCTCCAGAGGAATACTAGTATGTGCATTTCTTTCTGTTGTCACAATTTTTTTAGCAGGATTAAACATTCTCAGTCAAAAAAGCAGTAAATTCACAGGAAATAATATCAATCGCCTTAGAAATGAAGAACGCTATATTTACAAACCAGTCAGCGACGTACTTGCCTTAAAAGGACGCGTTGCTATAACACCAATGACGGAAAGAGACAACAAAAACTCATTTGCCATGAAATTCACGAATATCAGCGACACCTTAACTGATCCCATAGCGTTGGCTGTAACAACATCGAGGCAACAATTCATGTTAATTGATAAAATAGTGGAAGATTTACGACAAATGTTACCGCTTCGAACTGAATCCATTCAAAAGAAGAAAGTTACATTTAACCCAAAGACGAAGGTATACGAGATGGATGGAAAACCATTTATTTGGATATTTTGGGAGGGTCAGTCCAGACCTGCTTACGTGGACCTTTGTATTCTGTCCACAGTTTGTCATAATTATAACACTGTTAATGTGAGGGTATTGAACGTCAGTGAATTTACGAAACCTGTCCCCGTCGTGCACCCTGGTTTTCAAGGTTTGAGTATACCACACAAAGCTGACTATTTCCGCGTTGCAATGCTTAATGAATACGGTGGTGTATTTGACTCGGATACCATCAGCATTAAAAGCAGGGGAAGATTGTTTAGACACGCTTCGACACCTTTGTTTGACAAGTAGATTTTACTTAATAAAAGAAAAAAATCATGGCAAATATGACGAATTTCATTTGTAAATGTTTATGTCGTGTTTGTATCAAAGAAATACATTTCACTATGACATTAAGTGCATTTCAATGCTGACGATATGCCATTCGTTTTAAATGAAAGCATTCACAGCCAAGATTTTCCAGTCAAAAACCCATATTTAAAGAAATTTTCCTGTGGTAAGCCTATGTAGGGGAGACCGGGGCTAGTTGGACACCGGGGCAAGTTGCCCCCCCCCCCCCCATTCAATTTATGAAAAAGTAACTACCAGGTTAAAAAAAAAAAAGGCCACATACTCTTGTTAAATGACCGTAGCCAACAATACTAAGGATGTGTCGGAATTAAAAAGTTTTACGTAAGCGGTGAGTCAAAATAAACGATTTTTGCACGTATTCAGAGATTTAAGCCATGTCAAAGGTAGGTCTCGAATCCATGGGTTCATGAATTCTTACCTTGTAGTCTTGCACGCTAACCACTACACAGACGAGCTGAAGTTGCAAAGTACTCATTATTTGTCTCATATATGGCTCACCAGAAGGATTTCATATACATTTATAGTTTTATCATTTAACAGTATTATTGGCTAAGGATAGGACTTTCAAATGGCCGGACTTTTATTACTGTCATAGGTGTAACAGGAATAAAAGTCCGACAGTAATACAAGTCCAACCTACTATAATTATGGGCCAGGAACCTATGTCCCTGCAGGACTACTATTCCCTGGGGGACTTGGATTACTGTTACACCGGTCTCCCCTAATCGTGTATTGATGGGAAAAATCTCTATAACACAGGTTGTATGTGGTTGTATGTGGTGGTGCATTGAAATTCTGTATGCGGAAATAATGCTTGAGGGTTCCTCGACCGAGTGGTGCCAGATGGTGTTACATGAAGTCTCCATATCTAATGTTATTCCATTTTCTTCTAGAGAAATCAATTGTTAAGACCATTCTGACAGTTGGGGCAAAATTAAGGCAAGGCCCAAAATATCACCACCAAAAAAGTTTTAATGTTGCTGCGCACGTTGTCAGTTATTGTATCGATCACGTGTCACAGTCTTGGATTCTTTTTATTTTCTCGAGGATGAAAGGATGACAACAGAACTCTTCATTTTGGCAGAAAAAGTGCCGTAAAACGGATTTTTCCTAGCTGTTGTAATCGACAATTTTCCCGTACTTTCCAATGGTTAATGAATTCGATCCGACATTCAGAGTGAATCGATTTATTAAGCATGTTTTTTTTAAAATAATCCCTTGAAAGGTTAACATGGGGGCAGCCATCTATGGGGATCACGCGGCTGATGGCAAGCACAGATATCAGAATAATTGCCGATTTGGTGGTAAATTGGAATTAATTATTTTTCTAGGGGTTGTTAACAATGTATTTATTGTGGAATTTTGAATGTCATAGGAAGCGTTGTTATCCCTTTAAGATAACAAACCCATTAAAATCTATACTCCGGAAAAGACTCTTAACAGGTATCACCAATATTTTTTAAAAACAATATCCAAATCTGTTGAAAAAATAGTGTTTCGTTTCTTATTTAAGGAGTGAAATTTAGCAGGTATCAAACTCGGAAACCACTCAAAACCCGGTGTACAGAAGGTAAATTTTGTTAGCGGTTTTGTTACGGATATACTTACGCACACTGTGCTTCGTTAAACATTCACAAATCTATAGTTAATTTCTGCACCGCTCATAGTCAGTAGCTCCCTCCGCCACAGGTCTCACGACTGCACGGCACCTGTGCCTGGTCCTGAAAAAAAAACTGCCAGTAGTTTACACCCTAGACTGCTAGTTAACACCAAAATTAACCCTAGCAACACACAAGAAATGCCAGGAAAAAATGGAAAAAAGCACTAATTTTCTCTCACTGAACTACATGTATATGCATTATTGTTGAGAATTATTGTATGCATTATCGTAGCTGGCGACAATTTGTGCAGGGCGACAAATTGTGCCGACAATGCCTACACAGTTTGCCACCACCTAAGACGACAATTTGTGCCGGCGACAATTTGTACCGACATTCCCTGCACAAATTGTCGCCGGCGAAAATTTGTGCATTATCACCTACAAGTATTTCTTAGAACACATTCATAAAGCATAAGATACAGAAACGTTCTTACCAATACGGTGTCCACGCCACAGCTTACTGACGATCCACATTCCTCCATGGGCCTCCTCCTCGTTTATGTTAAACACCATCATCACACCTGGAAACACACAACCGTCCACTCCGCATTTTAAATAATTTGATTTGTTCATTTTTATATTCCTGTAATATAACAATCTTATGCGTAGTTGTAACAACATAAAGGTAGAAAACAATGTAAATTAAGTTTACCTACAACTTTCCCTTGCATCTCAGCAATGAACCATCCTTCCGGGCTGGATTCAAAGAGAGCCCTTACAACCTCTTGGCTGTAATCCCACGACACCATCTCTGTCAAGAGAGTTACTTCAACCACGTCTTCAGGCCGCATATGTCTTATGGTGGCTGTTGCCATGGTGGGGTTTTTCTTACCAGTAGTATGTTAAGGTACGTACTGTAGCGCAACTATAGGTAAGCAGTCGTTGACAGTTATAGGTCGTCATGATTTAAATTATTGCAAATGTAATGGTACATGAGTGAAGCAATTATCATACATAATGTGATCGTCACTGACGCAATTCAGAGGTTAACTTTTGCAGAAAGGTGCCTTTGGAATGCTTTGGAATGCATTAAATGATAGTGATTTTATTCAGTACTAAGACAACTACCGACTGCCTACAGTCCCGCTATGTACCACTGCATAAAGACGCTGGTGAGAAATGTGACGACAGCCACGATAAGACATATGCGGCCTGCAGACTTGGCTGAAGTAACTAGTTTGACAGAGAAGGAGTCCTGGAATCTCAGCCAAGAGGTTGTTAGGACTCTCTATGAATACTGCCCAGAAGGATCGTTTATTGCTGAATTGCAGGGGAAAGTTGTAGGTAAATTAAAATTTTAATTTTTTTCTCTAACGACAACCAATACACTACCCAGCAAACACGTCAGGTTCGGATTAATTGGCTAGCACGTTACTACCACATTATAACGTCCTAGCGACGGATAAACCACGTGGTACCAACGTGACGTGTTTGATGGGTATTTTTCTGAAAGGTTTGGTGTAATTACTGTTTTGTCGTGCATTTCCTGTTTTTTTAACAATGCGTGAAAAGTAAAATTGTACAAAGCATATAAAATTTAATGTGGTCTGGTTTGCAGGTGCTATAATGGGATTTAACATGAATGAAGAGGAATCATTTGGAGGAATGTGGGTAGTCAGTAAGCAGCATCGTGGACAGCGTATTGGTAAGATAGTTAACTCTGACTTGAGTCGCCTTTGCTAACAGAGAACACGTTTGTCATGTCTGCTCTTTACCAACCCGAGTTTCAGAAGACTCTGGGAATTCACCTTTCTACTACATGTATCACCTTTGTCATAATGATTGCTCACATAAATTGGTTTATTTTATGACCCAGGGCCCGGTTGTACCAACGCTTCGTAAATTTGTTCCGCTACGGTTGTAGTAGACTGCAACGCCTGGCGTCCGTGCGCCAGGGTCTGCTCTCCCTGTTTACTCCTGTTGAACTATCATCATCATTGCTCTTCGTCCACTCTAGATTACCACTCTAGTTCCTGTTGAACTAAGACAACATTTACTACGCTCAAGTAACGATTCGTTATATATATTGCTCCAAACACTTTGTTACTCCATTTGTATGCAAACTGACAATGTTTGAGCAAATCTTGATAATAAACAGTAAACACCATTTTATGCGCACAGTATGTATAGTCTACGGTTAAAGTCTTGAGGTTGCTCAGCATCAGTACTGTGTGAACCCCCCACTGTTTATTGTCAAGACTTGCTCACACTTTGTCACTCCATTTCGCAAAATATAATGATGAATTTACTGTGGCGCTAATGATACAGACGTCGTCAATTTTGATTTAATAGGCACAATGTTGTTGCAGAGGATAAAAGAGCACATTGGAGATAGGAATATCGGCATATTCTCCGTCGCAGAGAGCGTGGAAGCCCACAAAAGATTTGGTTTTACGGTGGAGTCATGGAAAATATGCCATGTATCCGGCATCATCGCAACTGAAAAGATCAAATTAGCAGAAGATTGCATGGTGCATGTATGTGCGTTTCCCTCTCGTCACGTGCAATTTGATGACCTGTTTCAATATGACACCAAAATACACTCAGTGGAACGGGAAAGATTCCTAAGAGTTTGGACTCAGGGAAAATCGACCATAACCTTGGTTGCTATTGGCAGGACTGGAGAAATCGTCGGTTACGGCGTCATTAAGCGCGATTCCAATGACACCGTAGTTGGACCAATTTACGGTGAAACTCCTTCCGTCATGAAAACCTTACTTGTCAGTTTAATCAGCAAGACTACTTTTGGTGAAAATATCAACATGTCGGTACCAGTTGAGAGTGAGATTTTGCAAGAATTACTGGTTGAGAATAAAAGCACGCTCAAAGTTCTTTCGGAGGAGACCCGGATGTTTTTCCACCATGAAGTAAAGGCTCCTCTGGAAAAAATTTTCGCGATTGCATCATCAGAAGCTGGCCATTGTTGACAGTCAGTGATACAGCATTCCAAATTCCCCGTGCCCTACAGAACTGATGAACAAAATTATAAAGTTTGGTTAGAAAGTGGGTAAATTTGTAAACAATTTTGTTATGTTGTCAAATACAACTTACTTTCATTTTTTTGCTGTTCTTAGCTGAGATCGAACTTTCGTTTTGAACAAGTGGATTTTATTTGATAAAAGAAAAAATTCATGGCAACATCCCCCCCCCCCCCGATTGCTTAAACCTAGGGGCAATTGGTGATTTAAAATAGATTTCATTTTATGGATGTTGAAAACGCATGATTATTAAAATGTCAGTACACAATGAAAATACTAATAAATGCTGGATTTTTAAGTGTTTTTATTTCTGTATAAATGACTAACGCTAATCTCTGCCACGTTGTCTTCAACATTTCTCCTGTCCGAAGCCTATTACATGTGTATCAGTCAATCTGCATAATAATTACTTTCGTTTGATAACCGAATGGGACAATTTATTTCAATACAGAAATGTTTCAATCGGTGAAATTTTGATAGCGAAGGATTTTAATTTATTCTTCTTCAACCCCTACCCCCTTCCCCCATAACAGCCTAGACGTCACGAGACTGTACACATTTCTTTTGTGGGAAGACTCATATGGTCATTAATAACCTCTGGCGGATCTGTCATAGGGCGTCTCCCTGCCCCCCCCCCCCCCCCCCCAATCCCCGGCTCTCGTAAATCATCATTGTGTGGGGAGACAATGCGAGTAAAGCGAGGTTTATGATTGGTTTTTAACCTTGATTACGCATAGAACTACCGTGGTATTTGATGGTGGGAGTTTTTCAAAACTTTACCCAGAAGATGCATCGGGTATAATTTTCTGAATCAAGATGTCAAGATCGTTGTTTCACTTATTAAAAGCATTACAATTTTACGAAAAAATGGATGCACCTAAAGATTTATTGTGACAAATACTAATTTTCCTCTGAAACAGTATTTTAATTAAAATTAGGGTCTCTCCGGACTAAGTAATACAGTATTAACTACCTATATTTTTAATCCATCATGAGCTTCATGCCTGATCTCAAAACTTACAAAATGATAAATCACACACACACACACACACACACACACATTACTGATAACAAACACCTTTCTAACTACATGTTACTACTTAATACTACGTTTACGTGGTTCAAGGTATCTGCAATAACGTATCGGGGCATTCATAGATTGCTATCATAATTGTATATTATTTGGGTTTAAACGCCTAAAGATAGCAGAGACAGGATGGAGGCGTGAATCTTAATGGGAAATATCAAGGACAGCGACAGCGTGAACGTTTGAGATGATCCCTTACGGCAGTCATTGGTAGCCGCTGTTCAAAGTGAAAGAAGAACGCCATGACTGGTGCTAACTTCTGTTGCTTTCTCGGCCGCCGATTGAAGAGAATATCACGCGTATTCTCCAGAGGAATACTAGTATGTGCATTTCTTTCTGTTGTCACAATTTTTTTAGCAGGATTAAACATTCTCAGTCAAAAAAGCAGTAAATTCACGGGAAATAATATCAATCGCCTTAGAAATGAAGAACGTCATATTTATAAAGCAGAGAGCGACGTGCTAGTAAGAGGACGCGTTGCTACAACACCAATGACGGAGAGAGACAACAAAAACTCACTTGTCATGAAATTCACGAATATCAGCAACACTTTACCTGATCCCATAGCGTTGGCTGGAACAACATCCAGGCAACAATTGAAGTTCATTGATAAAATAGTGGAAGATTTACGACAAATGTTACCGCTTCGAACTGAATCCATTCAAAAGACGAAACTTGCATTTAACCCAAAGACGAAGGTATACGAGATAGATGGAAAACCATTTATTTGGATATTTTGGGAGGGTCAGTCCAGACCTGCTTACGTGGACCTTTGTATTCTGTCCACAGTTTGTCATAATTATAACACTGTTAACGTGAGGGTATTGAACGTCAGTGAATTTACGAAATCTGTCCCCGTCGTGCACCCTGGTTTTCAAGGCTTGAGTTTGCCACACAAAGCTGACTATTTCCGCGTTGCAATGCTTAATGAATACGGCGGTGTATACTTTGACTCGGATACCATCAGCATTAAAAGCATGGGAAGATTGTTCGGACGTTTAGACACCTTCGACGTTGTCGGAGCGTCCTCCTATGTCGATAGTATTCATTTCGGAAATATGGGCCCCATGCGAGCAAGAACGCCTTTTACGCAATCGTGGCTGTCCAAACTTCACACTAAATATGACCAAAAGTTGAAAATTCTCAAAACAAGGGACCCGTTTGGCTGGTCAGAGGTAGGAGGACATATAGCTGTGCCCACTTTGAATAAACTGGTATCTAAAAAGACCATCAAATATCATCAGCTTAACGGTCCAGACTCATGGATTCAGCTCAACGAAAATAGAGTCATGAGTAAAAATCCAGACATTGTGAAAACCATGAGAGACACGGAAATTATCTCTTTAAACAACAAGCTATATCCAGCGAAGTACAAAGGGATGACGAGGGAGCAAATACTGCGTTCTCCAGTCGGATTGTCGCAGCTACTACGGTATTCCTTGGTGAAGTGTTGGAATGAGTTGTTCATGCACCCCTACTGATTTTATCTACGACCTTGAATAGAGATTTTACTACCTTGTTAAAAAGTAAAGTTATCGGTCGACCAATGAATATATTGGTTGAGATACATGGAGACACTGTATGTATTTTATGGTAAGTATTTTGTTTCACAAAAACAAACTGAGAAGCACATGTAAGTAATTTTACAAGTTGGAGAGAGAGTAGACCAGCTGTCAGGAATAATTCGATCTTATCTTGATTTATGCTTGATCCAGAAGATAATGTCGCTATGATGAATATAAATATATATGAAAACAGGCTCGTGCATAATTTATTTCTTCACATTCGTCTTGTTTACAATACTTTAAGTATGATGCTAGCGTACAAACAATGCTGTGAACAGTTGACTCGACATTAAGATTGCGCCGAGCTTACGATTATGAAATACTTGATATGTGTGTAATGATGATGCATACGGTACCTATATTTGTAATTTTGTTGCTATTTTTTTTTTTTTTTTTTTTTTTTTTTTTTTTTTTTTT